ATTAATGGCTTAGCGGCTTAGCGGCTTTAAGAAAAGGAAACAAACTCACAAGAACTCGCAAGACGTTTCGTCTTGCGAAGCAAGCCCATAGGGAAATTCGTCTTGCGGAACGACTCAAAAAACGGAAAACCCTTTCGTCTAGCAAGTTTTTCATCTTGCGAGGCATTCGTCTTGCGGGGCACCACTGTATTTTATTGTTTTTATCTCTCCGTAAAGTGCCTTCAGGGTTGTTGTCGTTGTTGTTCTTTTACAATCAAGAGGTGTATAAATTTTACGAAATAAAAAATAACACCGACTTTTGACAGTGCAGTCCTACGTACTTCTACTCAGAAACAAGTCCAGTGGGACTTGCTCCCAGGTTAAGCGTGTATAGGATTGCACCCTTAGTAAGCGTTCTTAGGAGAGAGGTGTAAGAAATACAATAGCATTCCTTTGCCATAATTAGCATTCAGCGTTGGCTCCCTTGAATTGTTACAGCTGTTGTAAATTGAGTGGGAGGGCTGAAAATCTTCACTCCGTGCTGGTGTGACCTATATGTTAAAAACGTGCCAGCTGCTTTCTCTCGGTGAAGTTTTTTTTTTAAAAAAAGTCAGTTGTGAAACGAGAGGGTGCCAGAAGATGGCAATTTTAAGTATTCTGCTGTGTGTGTCCTAAGGAAACTGCCACAGAGATTGCCCTCCATTATTGTATCTCATTAAGATCCTGTGATGGAAAGAAGACATAATTGATGTCATTTTTGTAGTACAAAACAGAAACTCGAGCATTGGCGGCGGGTGGGAGGGGTGGCAGTTTCTCTTTTGTTATTTGCTATTGTGCATAGGCTGCAGAAAGTTCAACTGTTGTCAGCAGCTGAGTCCTGTAATCGCCCTGCTCCTTGTAGCCCTTTGCAGATTCATTCATATTGCAGAACCACCGGCGGGGGTATATATGCCCCAGACATTGCCCTTAACTAGCTCCAACGTCACCCTTTTCATAATGCTTTTTAATGAATATCTTGTGACTGTTTTCCCATAACAGGCGCATTCTGGCTAAGAATCTTTCAGCGCAAGAAATGTCTCTTCCCAAATGACTCTTCCCCTCAATCATATGATTGCAAGCAGCCAATTTACCCAGCCGTCACGTCCCCCCTCCTCTCCTGTAGGTAGCGTTCTGGTGAGGCTGAAAATTAAACATTTTCCCACTGCATTCAGTGAAATAAGGAGTACCGGATTGCCCCTTTTCTAGTGCAACTCACAGGACCTTAAAGGTGCACGGTTTTTAAGCAGACTTGCTCTCTTTGCTGTGGAACAAGGTTCTGTGTGCTGACCATGGCATTTTTTTTAAATGCAAGAAGTATCTCCAAAGTGGTGCTTAAAAAGTTACACCTGCTGAAATCCTCTGTTCTGTGCAAACCCCCCCCCCATCTTTATTAAATGATATGTAGAAAACAGAGCAATAGAATACATCCATAGAGACAGCACCCCCATGACACCAATCTGATATAAACACAACGTTTGTTACTCCTATTACTGCTATTGGCTCCTTCTAAGCCTTTTCCCTGGAAAAGACCCTGATGTTGGGAAAGAATTGGAGGGCACAAGGAGAAGGGGACGACAGAGGATGAGATGGTTTGGATAGTGTTCTCGAAGCTACAAACATGAGCCTGACCAAACTGCGGGAGGCGGTGGAAGACAGGAGTGCCTGGCGTGCTCTGGTCCATGGGGTCACGAAGAGTCGGACACGACTAAACGACTAAACAACAACAACAACAACATTGGCCGCTGAGCAGAGATGCTCTGAGGGCTCTTCCCAAAACTAGAAGCAAGACCTTGCAAGTGAAGCTTTCTGGGTTTATGTGTGACTAGAGCTGCCTTCAAACCCAGAAGGAAACAGTGGGTTGTATCCAACAAAATAATACCATTAGTACAAGGGTTTCTCTGTGTGCAATTTCCCTTCCCTCTCCTCTTGCTCCAAATCTGCTCCAGAGGATTGGGGGAACCCCAGAACAGATTCAGGGAAAGGAAAAGTTATTTTGTGCAGCCTGAGGTCCTTGCTGCATATTGGTTCCCCCCATTTTGTTGAAAAGGAATTTTAGGAAACTTCAGAATGAAAATTCCTAATATCCGTCTTTGTTGACTGCACCATTCCTGTTCCTTTTGCATAGGCGCGTATCTTTAACGAGACCCCCATAAATCCAAGAAGATGCCCTGCATATACTTACCCAAGATCCTTTACTTGCTGAACCAGGTAAGTGCAGCTGCTTTTGGTGCAATTGAGTTGCAGCCTTTGGCTAATGAGGAAACTGTTAGAATTCCTGCTCCATGATTGCAGTCATGGGATTTTTGTCTATCACATGACGTGGTATGTTTTGACTCCACAGAGTGGGAAGTGACGGAGACAGGATGTTTGTGTTACGGTGTTCTGTGAAGTGGGACTATTGTCCTTTGTTCTTTTTCTCTTTGCTGTCTGATGCTAGAGAGAGAGGGAGCCATGTTGCAGTGCTCCGTGTGTGTTTATATGTAAATAAAGTAGATTAGCCGAAATGCTGAGTTGCTGAGGTCTGTTACGCAAGCTTTGCAAACTCTGCGGATCCCTAAGTGTGCCGATGTCTGTTGGCATCGGTCGCTGTGATGTTCAGGCAGAAGAAAGCTTTTGAAGCTCCCGAATGAAAGGCCTAACGTTCAGGGGTCCCTTTACCTTTTGCTTTACCACTTGATATAGTAATGCTCTCTAAGCAGTTCACATGAGAACAAGAACAAATACGAACCAGAATATTAATCATTTCCTAAAAACTAGGTAAAGAGAGAACAGCACTGTATATCACACATAAAACTGCACAGTTTTATAAAACAAACTTGCTAATTAAGAAGAGTTCGGAAAGGCTAATGGGTGGTGGATGGGGAGGCCAAGGCTGGGGCTTCCCTGCATTGGCAGATGAGAATCAGGGTCACGTGGCAGAGAATCCCACTCAAGAGGCAGGCATTAGATCGTCCTGGGATCACCTGTGATGAGCATGGCTGAAAGTGATCTCTGGAGCTAAAAGCAGGTCTTAGTGGAACATGTCAGCTTTTCACATATGCTGGCTTAATTTTTGTCACATATTAATTCACTTTTCTCTAGGGTGAACATTTTGGAAACAACGGAAGCCACAGAGGCCTTCTTTGCAATGACAAGATTGTTTCAGTCAAATGATGTAAGTTCCCAGTGCTCCAGAAAAGGGGTTTCCCCTCTGCCTGTGTCTCTGGTTGCATGATGGGCAATGGAGGATTTAAAAAAATTAAAATTCTTGTGTGGGATGCAAAGCACTTCATGACAGAACATTTCTGAATTTTGCACAAAAATGTAAACAGCAGCAGTACAGATTAGGTGGTGGCAGGAATTTGCTTCTTTTTTCTTGTACTGGGATCCAATGTAGATACTTTGGGACCAGTGTTATGTGGTCTCGGTGGCCGCTCCCAGTCACCAGTCTAGCTGCCGCTTTCTGGATTAGCTGTAGTTTCCGAGTCACCTTCAAATGTAGCCCCACGTAGAGCACATTGCAGTAGTCCAAGCAGGAGATAACCAGCACATAAACCACTCTGGTGAGACAGTGTGCAGGCAGGCAGGATCACAACCTGCATACCAGATGGAGCTGGTAGACAGCTGCCCTGGACACAGAATTGACCTGCACCTCCATGGACAGCTGTGAGTCCAAAATGCCCCCCAGGCTGGTCCTTCAGGGACACAGTTACCCCATTCAGGACCAGGGAGTTCCTCACACCCGCCTGCCCTCTGTTCTGCAGAAACAGTACTTCTGTCTTGTCAGGGTTCAGCCTCAATTTGTTAGCTGCCATCCATCCTCAAACCGCCTCCAGACACTCACACGGGACATTCACCGCCTTCACTGGTTCTGATTTAAACGAGAGGTAGAGCTGGGTATCCTCATACCTTTGATGAAAGTTGGTGTTCCCATGGCTAACTTCCTGGGGGCGTGACAGTTACTGTTATCTTGCCCTTTCCACAGCAAACATTAAGGAGAATGTGTTACCTTACCATCAAAGAGATGGCCAACATTTCGGAGGATGTCATCATTGTCACTAGCAGGTACTGATGTTCTTGTTTCAATGAATGGTGACTCTTGAGTCTTTCCGCAGGCATTTGGTTGAGTGTGGAGGATCTGGCTGCAGTCAGTAAGACTTAAGTCCCTCCCATCATGTTATGGTGTGAACTCTGTTTTGCCACCTCTGACCATCGTTTCACACACCATGCGAAAGCAGACTTGCCTTTGCCACTGAGCGCCCCTTGTGTTTGCTTCCTGATGAGTTGACTGACTGGTACAATATACGCCAGAGGCAGTCCCTCCAAATCCCATCAGCCCCACCTAGCATGGCCAGAGATAATGGGAGTTGCACTACAAGAACAGCTGGAATGGTGCAGGTTTCACTTCCCTGATATTTGCAGTTGCATCTTGGTCAAATGTAGACTTTACATTCTTACATGTGCTCTTACAGCCTCAGTATCTAAAAATATAGGTGAACGTAAGCTGCTGTAGGGATAGGAAGTGTCTCACATTTAAACTGGCCTGCTAGTGCCAGACAAAAGTGTGGTTGGCGCATTTTGTACCAATCGAAGCCTCCAGGCTATTTTCAACGGCTGCCCCAGAATTTGAAGCCAAGTCCACCTCTTTTCTGCAAAAGGTCTGTGTTAACAGAAGCTTGCCTTAACTCTTCTAGCCTGACCAAAGACATGACTGGGAAAGAGGATGTGTACCGAGGCCCTGCCATCAGAGCCCTCTGTAGAATCACGGATGTAAGTATCAAATTCTTCAGCCATGAATGGGGTCTCGCTGTACCCATTTTTAATGCCAGGTGTTCTCTCTCTAACATGCCTGGAATGATTTCTCCTGATCCCTGTCCTCCAAGCCACTCTTTCCCCAGTGACCAACATGTTCTCACTATAACCATTTGTTTAAGTTTAGTGCTGTCGTGTTTTCCAGCAAATGGGTTGCAGTTGAATAATAACGTGATGATTACCATTATCCTGATGGTAACCTGGTCATCTGAGCTTTCATTGGCTGTTCCGCTCCCCCTATAGCTGTGTACAGACAGTAACAGGAGATTGCAGTTGCTCATGTAGAGCTCAGTCAGTTTTATGAATGGGGTACTAATGGGTTTTCTCACCCACACAAATATCTGTACGTACCCAAGCTTGGCACATTAGCCTGTGTTGCCTACTCACCGTAGTACTACAATTTTGCTTTTTAAGGAATGTTTCTCCTAAACGTTAAAACTTATTAAAACCAGCTAGGGTATAAATAATAAGTTGTTGCTGTTGCTGTCGCTGTTGCTGGTAACACCGCCTGGTGTTATTTTTAAACAATAAATGGTAAGAAAGGGTTAGGGGGTGATCCAGGAAGAATAGTGGGAGGCTATGAAAAGAGTGATGGAAGAAAGTGCAGAGTCCAGAATCTTGACCTATTGAACGCTGGAGCTTTTTGCAGACACTTTCCATGCATGAGGTCTAGAAGCTTTTATTTTAAAACGGAAAGTGAGCTAGTTAGGAATCGATACCAGGTATCAGGTTCTGCCTGAACTTGGAGAACAGAAGCAATCCCAAGAAGATAACATTCTCTGCGTTGGTATCTCTGGCGTCTCTGTGTGTTGGGTACCTCTTGTTCTCTCTCTCTCTCTGGATTCCCAGGGCACCATGCTGCAGGCCATTGAGAGGTACATGAAGCAAGCCATTGTGGACAAAGTCCCCAGTGTCTCCAGTTCAGCGCTGGTGTCCTCCTTAGTAAGTGAAGGGATCTCTTTGCTGTCATCCGATTACATTCAGGGACTGGGCGGACCCGAGCACCTCCGACTTGTCGATATCTTGGCGGCCAGGACACCTTCTGCATCTTTCTGTATTGGCTTGGCCATGTTGTGCACTGTCTTTTGCTTTCTGGGTTCTTCCTGCCCTGTCCAATTTTGCAGGCAAAGTGCTTTGCTGGGAACCACTGACATTCTGAATGCCTGGCTGGGGTTCCTGCCACCGCCCCTCCTCCCTTGCTCCGGCAGTAATTCCAATTCTCCCTTGCTGCCCCAGCTTTGCAGGATTTTAAAATACGAGAAAAGCAAACTCTGAAAGAAAACGTTGCCGACTAGTTGCTAAACCTCCTTCTCCACAGTTTACATATGAAGCTGCCTTATACTGAGTTAGGCCCTTGGTCCATCTAGCTCAGTTCTTTCTACACTGACTGGCAGCACCTCTCCAGCGTTTCAGGCAGAAGACCTTCCCAGGCCTACCTGGAGATGCCAGGAATTGAACCTAGGACCTTCTGCATCCAAAGCAGATGCTCTACTGCTGAGCTACAGCTCTGGCATTCCCACCTTCGCCGCATCAAGCAGTTGGTCCCTTACCTTTTCCCGCCCTGACCTGGCCACAGTGATCCATGCGACGGTCACCTCCAGGCTTGACTACTGTAATTCGCTCTACGCGGGGCTGCCCTTGAAGCTGTCCCAGAAACTCCAGCGGGTGCAGAATGCTGCAGCGAGGCTCCTCACGGGGTCTCTGCCATGGGAGCATATTCATCCAGTGCTTTTCCAGCTGCACTGGCTCCCGGGTGGAGTACAGGGTCAGATTTAAGGTGCTGGTTTGGACTTTTAAAGCCCTTCACGGCCTAGGACCCTCGTACCTATGGGATCGCCTCTCCGGTATGCCCCACGGAGAGCCTCAAGGTCCATAAATAGCAACACCCTAGAGGTCCTGGGCCCTAAGGAAGTTAGATTAGCCTCAACCAGAGCCAGGGCCTTCTCAGCAGTGGCTCCGGCCTGGTGGAACTCTCTGTCTCTTGAGACCATGGCCCTGCGGGATCTGATCTCTTTCCGCAGGGCCTGTAAGACAGAGTTGTTCCACCTGGCCTTTGGCTCAGAATCAGTTTGATTCCCTCCCCCTTTTTCTTTTTCCTTTCTCCTCCTATGATGAGATTGCTCCCTAATTGTTTTAATATTGTATCTTAATCTTTTAAATTGTATTTTAATCAACTTGTTTTTATTATCGGTTGTTAGCCGCCCTGAGCCGGGTCTTGGCTGGGGAGGGCGGGGTATAAATAAAAAATTATTAATAATAATAATACTGGGTTTGCTAGTGTGATGCCTAGAATTGCCCTGGTGTCTGTGAAGCCTCTGAACTGGCCCCATATTATTACAGTCATACCTCATGTTACGTTTGCTTCATGTTACATTCTTTCAGGTTACGTCCCGCGGCGACCCGGAAGTACTGGAAAGGGTTACTTCCAGGTTTTGCTTCATGCGCAGATGTGCAAAATGACATCATGCGCAGATTCACAACCCGCGCATGTGCAGACGCACCACTGGCGGGTTGCGCTCTTTTCGTGTTGCGAACGGGGCCTCCGGAACGGATCCCATTCGCAACCAGAGGTACCACTGTATTAATAATAATTTTATTATTTATACCCTGCCCATATGGCTGGGTTGCACCAGCCACTCTGGGCAGCCTCCAACATATATAAATGACACGCAGCGGAAGTGTGCTGGGCCCATAACCTGATGTGCAGTGTAAATTAATAATGCAGAGTTTTTAGAGAATAAAAGCTTTACTGAGTTAAAATAAACTTCATAAACAACATGGTTCCAAACAGTTTGACTGAGATTACATACTGACTCTGCTCACAGCTGAGGCAGACTGACTCTGACTGAAAACTTACAGAGGAGCACAGAGAGAAACTGGCTGCTAAATCATATGTCAGAGTGACTCAAGAGTTAGCAGTTAGGCCTGATAACTTTGGTAGGCCCAAATGATTGTGCAAGTCCCAGCACTTCCCAGCCTGCTTTGCTGCTTTCTGCTCTCATGTGTCTTTTGTCACATGACAATAAAACATAATTTAAAAACTTTCCTGTACAGGGCTGCCTTCAGCTGTGTAGTTCAGTTGTGTAGTTCTTTATCTCCTTGACATCTGATGGGAGGGTGCCACTGCTGAGAAGGCTCTCTGCCTCTCCACTCTCCCCCATAAAGTTGAAAAGGGAACTTGGAAGAGGGATGCATTCCACCACTTCCTCTTTCAGCTCTATGTGCTTTTTGAAGGTCTGGTGCATCCCCTGCTTTTGGGACGGCAGCAGGCAAATGACCTGCTCCAGAAAAGTCTTCCTATAGTGTAATCATTCTCCTTCTGATCTCTTCAGCCACAGTAATATGCTACTGGGTTTAAACTACCTGCTAAACCGGTTGTACCCACTAAACTTGGTTGGTAGACTGGCCAAGACAGGAGCAGGGCTAGTATTATTGATTCTCGGCCATTATTTCCAGCACATGATGAAGATCAACTATGATGTGGTCAAACGGTGGATCAATGAAGCCCAGGAAGCTGCTTCCAGTGACAACATCATGGTGGCAGGTACGATGCTCCCACCTTCCTTGACTACATGCTTTTAGCACTGCAGGTGGTTTGAATTGGCTTTGTGCAGTTGTAATACATGATGTGGTTAAATAACAGAAACACTTCCCCACCACGTCCAGAGGAAGTCTTTGCATTAGTCTGCTGCAGCAAGTACAGTCGTATCTTGGTTTTCAAACGCCTTGGTGCTCTGACGTTTTGGCTTCCGAACGCCCCAAACCCAGAAGTGACTGTTGCGGTTTGCGAACTATTTTTGGAAGCCGAAAATCGAACAGGGCTTCCGATTGGCTTCAGGAGCTTCCTGCAGCCAATCAGAAGCCGCGTTTCGGTTTCCGAACATTTTGGAAGTCAAACGGACTTCCGCAACAGATTCCAAGGTATGACTGTATTCCTGCGGCACCTTAAAGATTATAACACATTTTATTATAGCTTTTGTGGATTGAGCCTATTTTTTTATTTAAGTACTTCAGAGTAGCTTCATTTGAAAAAGCAATCATATTTAGTTATATTTAGCACAACAGTAATCATGGATTTATTTGCCCCCCCCCAATTATTTCCCCCCTGACCTGCCAGTACCATGCCTTAGGGCTGCTCTACCACCTTCGGAAGAACGACTGCCTTGGTGTTTCCAAGATGCTGAATAAATTCACTAAATCTGGGTTGAAATCCCAGTTTGCATACTGCATGCTGATTCGGATCGCCAGCCGGCTGCTGAAAGAGTCTGAGGAGGGGTAAGCCTGTTTGTTTGTCAGGGCTTTTAGCAGAACATCCGTACTCAATTCCTGCAGCACCGTAAAGGTGCAAATAGAGTCCATTTCAGACTTTCTCTCTATGGCTTCAAGGTCCTCAGGAGATATTGAAGCTGCTGGGTAGTGTTGGGCTCAGGGCTGCATATGAGATTGTAGCTGCAATTTCGGAGATCAGCAGCTTTCAATTCTGACAAATCCATAAAGGCAGTTTCCTTTTTCCTCTGCCAGGCATGACAACCCGCTGTTTGATTTCATTGAAAGCTGCCTGCGGAACAAACACGAGATGGTCATTTACGAGGCTGCCTCCGCCATCATCCATCTCCCAAACTGTACAGCCAGAGAACTGGCACCGGCAGTCTCAGGTGAGCTTCAGGAAGGCGTGACCTTTGCCGAGAGCAGTTCCCCCCATCCAGATGTTTTGGACTACAACTCCCATCAGCCTAGCAGGGGCTGATGGGAGTTGTAGTCCAAAACCTTGGAAGATCGGGGGAGGCTGATATGGTAAGCATTTCCAAAGGGCAGAAATGGCTGCTGGCTACTGTGGGAGAACGAATCTCAAGTGTCTTACAGCTTGCTCTCATCTGCCTAAAGTTGGAAGGGGCTGCGGTTGTTGTTCCCTCTGTCTTAGCGCTGGCTGCTCTGGCTTGCGCTCCTGTTCAGCAGTTGCTAGGGACTGGCCATAGGCGGTTCTCAACCTGTGGGTCCCCAGATGTTGTTGGTCTACAACTCCCATCATCCCTGAGCTCTGGCCTTGCTAGCTAGGGGTGATGGGAGTTGTAGTTCAACAACATCTAGGGACCCACAGGTTGAGAAAGGCTGCCCTAGGACCTGGGCGCACAGAGGGATAAAAGTTCCTGGGATTGTGCCCTCACACGTGAATTCCTTTTCGTTTCAGTGCTCCAGCTCTTCTGTAGTTCTCCCAAGCCTGTCCTGAGATACGCCGCAGTCAGGACCCTCAATAAGGTAAGCATTTCCACCTTGCACATCCTAGAGGTCCTTATCCGAAACAGTGGCTTGTCAGACTTCTCCAGTGGGATTTTACTGTTTCCCTCCCCCTCCCCACAAGGTGAAAAGGGGGCTCCTGTTGAGGCAGTGTGCCTGTTGCTGATCTTTGTGGGGTGGGCAGCAAATTCTAGACCCAGTAACCTCTAGGACAGGTCCTGGGTAACTACCATATTTTTCACTCTATAGGACGCACTTTTCCCCCTCCAAAAATTAAGGGGAAATGTGTGTTCGTCCTATGGAGCAAATGCAGGCTCCTTGGCTTCAGCGATAGCAACACGAAGCCTCCGAAGCACAGAGGGAGCGCTCCCTCCGCGCTCCGGAGGCTTTGCGTTGCTTTTGCTGAAGCCTGGAGAGCAAGAGGCGTCGGTGTGCACCAACCCCTTCACTCTCCAGGCTTCAGGGATAGCCGCCTGAAGCCTTCGGAGCGCAGCGCGAGTTCCCGCTTTGTTCTGGAGGCTTCAGGTTCCTTTCGCTGAAGCCAGGAGACTCTTGCTCTCCTGGCTTCAGCAAAAGGAACCCGAAGCCTGCGGTGCGCAGCGGGAACTTGCGCTGCGCTCTGAAGGCTTCAGGGATAGCCGCGCGCAGCGCCTCCAGCAGGGAGAGGCTGCACGCAGCCTGTATGCTGCTCTTTGGGGCTGGGGGGAAATAATATTTTTTTTATTGATTTCCCCTCTAAAAACTAGGTGCGCCCTATGGTCGGGTGCGCCTTATGGAGCGAAAAATACGGTATGCTGCTTATGCAAGCCAAAATACTATGTAAAATCTAGCAGTTTCAAAAGAGAACACAGGTGCAATTCTTGAGAATCAAGAGAAGCTGGTCTCAGCAGCGGGTATCTCACCTTCCTATTCACTGGACCCCTGAACCACTGCCGTACGATTCTTCCGTCCTGTAAGTTGTTCTGGGTTGCCAACGTCCGACTGCCCTTCCAGGTAGCGATGAAGCACCCGTCAGCAGTAACCGCCTGCAATTTGGACCTGGAAAACCTGATCACGGATTCGAACCGCAGCATTGCCACCCTGGCCATCACCACCCTCCTGAAGACAGGGAGCGAGAGCAGCGTGGACAGGCTCATGAAGCAGATCTCGTCCTTCGTGTCCGAGATCTCAGACGAGTTTAAGGTGAGGTGATTTCCCGTCTGCCCTTTGGCCTGCAGAGTTCTTAGGCGGAAGGAGTTCCTAGCTGGCAGGGCGACCTTCGTCTTCTTGGGGTTGGGCAGCGGTCTTGGGCTAGGTGAGGACAGGAATCAAAGCTTTTCAGATC